CCTAATTACCCTGAGTTGGGTATTTCATGAATTTGGCACAACGGAAACGCTTGATTTAAGAGTTTTGTTTATGTATAATTCTGTGGTAGTTGAGTTACATGAAAGCTCTCCAGGATTTAACTGTTTAAATTGTATACTTGAACGTTTACCTAATTTTACATTGGCTTGTACTGAAGCCTCGATGCTAAAACAAGAATGCCTATTTTTTAACTTAACAATAAAACAATGTAAACGACAAGAAAAGGGGATAAATTTGATCTGAAAAATTACAACAATTGCCTCTTTAAGCAAAGATAGCCATTAGGAAATTGCAAAGCAGTGACTCTCACACCAGCAGTTGTAAGCTTACACACTATTTCAGGTCATAGTAGTTCAAACTAAACATAAAAGGTAATGCATTCCAGCAAATCATTGATCCTATACAAAATATGACACCATCAACACCAGAAGGTTTTCAAACTTCTCGAAGCGACAACAACGACGACAAACCTAGTGTAATCCCACAAGTGAGTGTGGGGAGGGTAGAGCGTACACGGAACCTTACCCCTACCTTGTGAAGATAGAGACAGACCCTTGGCTCAAGGGAAAAAAGTAGTAGTAACAAGCGATAAAGCGAGAAGGTCTTCAATCACCCTGTTCCTGCACTGAAACCATATAAAAAGCTGAGTCATGAGGCTGCCTAGGATAAAATCAAATCAAAGATGCACTGCATATTTTTAGATGTTGAATATAGTTACTAAGTATCTCTTTATTCGTTCACATATGAAGATCAATATTGTCAGTTTGTTCATTTTCTAAGAGTAGAAAATAATAAACAGGATCAAGTATCTTTTTTTCCATGAAATGGTAAAGTATTAGCTGTGTATTAGAAACAAGATCTGTCACATTTGAAGAATAGATTTTAATGTTCAAACAAAATTTTCTCTATTCAGACAACTCTTACCAGTCTTTTCCATACCTTAAACAAACATGAAAGATTAAAGAATACTGGTAGCACTGCATATTTTTCATGCAGAAACCATTAATTCATTCCAAATATCTAGAGGAACAGACCTTATCACATACACTTCATAAGAAAGTTGCAAGTGCAAGGTTAGAGAAATACATGTAAGTATGTAGCTTAAAGAACTAAAGAGACATTGTCCCATGAAGTAATATGCTTGATCAGTTAAATATTCCATTAACAGTTCCACATGAACATATTAAGAATTGGATACCAATAAAGATGATTCTAACATACCTTATTTTTGTGGCTGGATATTTTGAACCTGAAGCTCATACTTTCCCCAGCTTTCTTGCTCTTCTTGAATCTTCTTAGCACTAGTGACGGCGGTAGAGCTGCAATTTTCTATTTGGATCAACTTTAGTGTGGGTATATCTCCAATACTCTGAGGAATCTCCTCCAAGTCCAACCCATACAGGAATAGTTGCTCAAGCATTGGAAAATTATCACTAGCTGCTTCCCACCTTTCCAGTTTATATCCGAAAACAATCTGTAGATATTGTAATCTTTGAAACACAACATCTTCATTTAGTATCCAATTTGTTCCCATGAATCCACAATGTGCTTTGAGCACCTCAAAATTGGGTAAATTAACCAGCATAACCGTATCTTCCCATGGAAAAAAAAAGTAAAATATAATCTCAACTTCTTGAGATTAGGCAGGAAAATATCCACCATTCCCCTGCCTTGGAAGATAAACATGCTTACGGAGCGAAATAATCACTCGTCGTTGATAATCTACGCCTTCTAAGAAATTGGGGACATTCTCATCCATGACAAGCACAACATTTTCAGTTTGAGCTTCTCTTATGCACAGCTGGTGCAGAATCGTGAATTTTACAAGTTTTGATCCTTCCATTAACCCGTCGTTTATCAACCAAAATTAGACTTCTATTAACTCTTCTAGATACTCCTCAGCCACCAACTCTAACCTTTTATCCCTTCTTGCCTTCACGAATTGCTCACCAATCCATAGCCTAATCAACTTTGGAACACTAATCTCTATGTCTTCAGGAAAACCTCCTATATAGAGAAAGCAAGCCTTCAAGTGTTGGGACAAGCGATTGTAGCTCATAGAAAGAATTGTTCGGAATTGTTCAGAAATCGTACCAAAGAATGAGTTCAAATTTTCCTCAACTTTCCTCCAATTATCATGGCTCAGGTCCATCTTTCCAAGAAGTCCAGCAATGACAACGATTGATAGAGGCAATCCTCGACATTGTTGTACGATACGCTTCCCTATTTCTTCTAGTTTAGAAGGATAAGGTTGTTCTTGGAATAGTCTTTCGTTAAATAGATTCCAACTATCATCGAAACTTAGAAAAGACATATTATGAGGAGGAAACTCGGGGCAGCTGGCATAATCAGCAACATATTTGAGCCTAGTGGTTAATATAATCCGGCTTTTATTATACATTCTTCGCATGTGGTCCAAGGCCTCAGTACTCCAAAGATCATCTATGACAACTAGAAATCTCCTACACTTCAAACCTCTATACACAATCTCCGCTAGTTGACCATTGCTCATTTTTATATTGCTTTCATCAGTCCTATCCGAGATGATTGAAGAGACAACATCAAGAAGCACTTGTCTCTCATTGTAGTTTTCAGAGACAGTAACCCATGCACATGTATCAAATCGATGTCGAATTGATGAATCATCATAAACTTTTCTAGCAAGAGTTGACTTAACGATACCGCCCATACCAACAATTGATATGACAATTAGCTCATATGTTTGGGAAGTGAGGCAATCTAATATGGTGTTGAAGTCTTCCTCCATTCCGGCAACAATATTTTCCTCAGCTGCATACCGTCTTGATGAGGAAGAACTTGTTGCTTCTGCAAAAAGCTACTTACCTACCTCATTTTGGCTTTCTTTATTCTTAATTTGATATAGTTTAAGGTCCTTGATTTGCCCTAATTTTGTGTCCTCGAGACAATCCGCCTGATACTAATTCAAATTATACTCATTGTTTCTTGAGATGCAATGGGAATGGAGGCTGCGACCTTGTGGTCCGGCCCTTCTCCGGACTCCGTGCATAGCGGGAGCTTAGTGCACCGGACTGCCCTTTTCTTGGACGAACAAGTTGTAGCCTACACAGGCACACACTATTAACAAACTTGACGGACAGCCAGGTTTATTACAAACAAATTAAAGTTCCTTTCTGGCAATGGTTACACAAAGCTACAAACAACTAAATAAGAAACACTACTACATAAACTCTCCAGAACAGCAGTTGAATATCATGTTCTTAAGCTGGATTAGGAGGATATAGTTACTAAGTAATTTCTTTGTCGGCTTACATATATAAAGATCAATTTTTGCTTGTTTGTTAATATTTAAAGAGTAAGGAATTATAAGTTCTATTCCTCCTCGGATTTTCATTTTTTAGACTGTTAATCCTCCTTTGGTTAGGGTGGTTAAAAATCAACTATTCCAAGACAATTGGCTATTTTACTCAATTACTACTATAATACAATTACTTTTCTTATATCATCATTCTTTCCTAACCCGACCAAAAAAATCTCTTCTAATGCTATGTTGTGCTTGCTCATTTTCACTTAATCTATTATTGTCTACTACTATAACCAATCTTTCTATAATACTATTCTTTGTTATTTATTATGGTTATTAGAAGGTTTACAGCTAACGAGAATTAAGATTGAATTACCAAAAAGGTAAACAACAACTGTAGTAAATCATACTCGGAATTTTCTCAAATGCCAATTAAAAGTTTTTCCATCTTCTTGAGCCAAGGGTCTATCGGAAATAGCCTCTCTACTCCTCCGGAATAGGGATAAGGTCTGTGTACACACTACCCTCTCCAAATCCCACTTGTGGGAATTCACTGGGTTGTTGTTGTTGTCATTAAAAGCTTATTTGTAGCAAATCTTATAGGTGTGTGTGGGGTTTTTT